GAGGCGATACAGTAAAAATGCTAATCTTGGCTGGCACATTTGCATCAATTTAAACTCAACCAGCACAGTAACTCTACACGTGATGGGCTACATCCTGTGAGCACACCTGCACTGACCTGTGCAGGCAGCAGGAGCACACATCGCTGTGCCACATCAGTGCCTCCCTTCCTCACTGGGCTAACAGCCCATCTGTAGATCCACAGGGGACGTCTTTCGCTTGGGGACATTTGTATGGGAAGCAAAACACCGTAAGGAAGGGAACAGGATTGAGAAGCCTGGCTGGGGGCTGATAGTGATGTGGTTTCCCGGTGGATGGATGCACTGGAGGTAAGGCCAGCTACCCTGATAGGATGGGTTTGCTTTGGAACAAGGGGCTTTTTTTTTGACCAAATGAAGGAATTCTGTCCCTCAAGCTTTTACTGATTCCCTACATGCTTGGAATGCAACGAGATCTCGCAGAAGAACCAAAAGTATCTAAAAAATACCAGAGCCTGATACAATTTTCAAAAGAAGGCRGGAATGTAGGAACTTTGGTTCTGATTTACAAAGACATGAGATGTCAAGAAAGGAGCTAAAGATACCAGGCGTCTTTCCTAACCGGAAGTTTTGTTTACTTAGTGAACAAAACCCCCAACCCATCAGCCAAGTGCTATTTTAGGTATATTGATGCGTTATAAATGCCAAGGCTGCCCTGTAAGTTTGCAGACGGACACTGCTGGTTCCCGGAGTAAATCAGTGATCAGCAGATGGCACTGCAGCCCATAGGATCATTTGCTGTGCTCTGCAMACACTCCACAGAGGCAAACGATGCTCAGCACTCCAGCACAGCTCACAAAATATAATTGGAGTACTGACAGGCATTTCCAAACACTTGAATTAGATGAGTTCCCCACCAAATACTGCCTAGTGGCATCTGCTGTGAGATGTTTGTTTCAAAAAAGAAACTCTAGACACATTATTATCCTTTTTTAAAATCCCCCTTCGGGGATTTCTGTTACATAGTTTAAAATGTCTGTATGGAAAGAACTCAGACTTCATTTTTTACTGAACTAGAACTAAAAAGAATCATGTAATTCATTGATGGCCTTCAACTGAAAAAAAAGACAAGACTGTTTTTTGAAGATTAAAGAAGGAAGGCATGAATAAAAAGCAATCCCATCTTCTATTACTTWATAAATATAAATATTCCATCTTCTATCAATAACAATTTACAAGTTCTCTCTTCTGAACACTGAATAAATAAAAAAGTAACCAAAAGCAAGAACAAACCACAATATAAAACAAAATAATGCAAATTGAGTCTAATGTTGATAGTCTATAGATTCTTTATCTTGAACAACTCCTTTATATTTATGCATGTCGTTTAGAGAGACAACATGAAGAGTTGGCACTGCATTATTCTTCAAAAGATGAAAAAGTATGGGTAATTCCTCTTTCTATTACAGAAAAGTCAAAATGTTAATTCAAAATTGGTTCCAAAAGCATCTGATGGGACTTTTACAAAAGATATTCTGGATCACAC